CCTAAGAGCCTGGCATTCCCGTGTTCACAGGCGGGTGCCCCCCAGCAGTGGTCTACCGCATGCCCGCTTCCCTCTCTGGATGCAGACCGTGGCACAGGGCGAAGGACCCTTGCTTAGTGAGGCCTGAGGGTAGGAGCTGTGCTGAGCATTTCATAGACATTATCTGGCGTAATTCTCTGGTAACCTGTGTGAGGTTTTCATGGTACAGAAGAGGAAATGAGCCCAGCAGGGAGGAGACCTTGCCTGAGTGAGCAGTGGAGTCAGAGGCTTCTCCGTGAACTGTTGTGTCCTCCTTGATGGCTGTGGCTCTGAGCTTGGCTGCCAGAGGGCTAGCCCCCCACATGCAGCAGGGGCCCTGAGTATGAGCCGACCCGGCTGTGGCCTCTGGTGCCCCGACAGGCTGCGGAGGTCACAGCCTTGCTGAGTGGAAGGAATCCTGTGTGAAGTCTGTGTGCTTTCTCCAAAGCCGGGGTGGAGTTCAGAACAGCAAATATTTAATCAGAGCAAATTCCTCTTGCTGAGCTCCTGTCTGCTTGTTCAACCTGGAGGTTCTTTGCCTAAAAATACTCCCTACTTACTGAGGCTCAGTGCCAAACCACCGTGGCGCTAATGGAGGTGGGACGGTGCTCGGGTGGGTGTGCGCCCACTTCTCTTCGTCTGTGGTGTGCAGTGCCCGGGCACTGGGCACTGTGGTGGATTAAATAATGGTCACCTTGTGACACCCAGCCGAACTGAGTCAGCGTGGTGCTGGGCGTGGAGGGCTCACCTGAGGACTTGCCAGCGGCGTAAAAGAACTGGAAGGGAAGGTGTGTGCTGTTGATTCTCCTGGAGAAGCTTGTCACGCTGGTTCTCCTGATGTGAACTCAGCTGTTCTCATCATGGGAGGAGCTTGGGACCTGTCGCTGAGGATGGCTGCAGGTCTCTTCGGGGAAGCTCTGCTCCTTACTTTGAGCATCGCTTCCTGGCGCCATTCAGATTCCTCAGCCTGCTGGCACAGACTTTCTAGCTTACCCCCACACTAGCCTTGGGCCTTCCCCGTGCAGATCCCTGAAACAGACTTGCATGAGACATTGCTGTGGGCTCTGGGCCTACAGCTGGACTCGTGTTGGACATCACGGTGGGATCCAGGCCCTTGCTGGATTCTTTGGGTCTCTAGCATGTGGACAGATCTCCGGTACTTGTTTGCCTTTGACTCTTTGGGTGAATATTATAAAGTCTTACATATTACGTGTCCTGTGTTAAATCCATTCCCTTGTGAGCCCTGACTACAACAGGTGACTTCCCGGTGGGTGGAGTGAACAGGTGGGATTTGTTGGGAGAGGGAGCCTAGCAGCCCCACCTGCTGCATGGAGGGGGGGGTGCAGATCGGTTTCCACTAACAGACTTGAAGGACTTCGTGCAGGAACGCCGGACATCTCGTTTGCACACATTCCCAAAAGTGCCCCTTTTTACATTATAGCAGTCTGAACACGCAGGCGGCTCTCAGAAGCATCTCTGCGGCCCCCCTTCCCTGCTCAGGGTGCTTCCTGCCTTTGTGTCTGGTCCCTGCTGCAGCCCTGGAGCCTGTCCTGACCTCGAGTCCTGACCTTGTGTCCCAACCTCACACTCTCACTGGGCCTGCAGACCCACACGCCGGGCTCCTCAGACCCTGGATGCTGAAAAGCAGAGCCCTGTCCTGTCCTTGTAATGGAAAATAAACTGTAGTAAATATTTCTTAAAGACTGTAGCTTCTAATTGAGCGGTCAGACTCAGCTGACCTGGGCCACACAGCTGCAGCTCAGAAATAATTGACTCAGGTCTCTCTGGCGAGCTACACAGTGCCCTGCACATATTTGTTTTTCTAAGTTGTTTGAAGGAGTGTCTACCCGAGACACAGGCCAGTCCTGTCAAGGCCACACTAAATCTTGTCCACTTGCCTGGCCTCTGATATCTCCTCCCATCTTCCTGCCTCATGATAAACGACCCCTCCAATTAACCTAGCCTGACACTCCTGCCTGACAACGTATGACAAAATGTATGTAGCCAGTTGCAGGCAAACCTATGTATAGCCAATTATAAACTAACCCATTATTCACTGTGTAGTTCCTGCTTACGAATAGTATGTAAGTTGCTGTTGTACCTTGAGCCAGAACTGGAGGGGGAAGGCGTGTGCTGTTGATTCTCCTGGAGAAGCTTGTTGTGCTGGCTTTCCTGATAGGGACTCGGTTGTTCTCATTGTCGGAGGAGCTTGGGACGTCATTGTCGCTGAGGATGGTTGCAGTTCTTTTAGGGGGAACTCTGGTCCTTACCTTGAGTGTCGCTTCCTGGCTCCAGTTCAGATCCCCCAGCCTGCTGGCACAGATCCTTCATCCCGCTGGCACAGACTTTCTAGCTTCCGCCTCTGACCTTCGGGCCGTCCCAGTGCAGATCCATGAAACAGACCTGCATGAGATGACATGGACTCTGGGCCTCCTAGAGGTGATTTGGAAACGAAATAAAGCTGTTGCCTTCCAAGTGCCTGAGTGCTGCATGTCTTCTGTCTGATACGGTCTCACCTCTAGTTCTGCCATCTGGGGCTGCGCCCCTGCACCCCAAGCAGCAGTGCCTTGAAAGATGACGCCACTCTGCCAGGGCTGTGCCTCACAGTGCACACTGAGGGGCTCTGCTGCTGGGGTGGCTGAGGACCAGAAGACCAGCTGCCGTCCCTGGCCTGGGCTGGTGTCAGGGCCCTATCTCTTGAGAGAAGAGCTTCACGAGGCACCTCCGGGGTCTCAGGAGGAAACCTCTGCTTTGTATCTGCAACTGGGAGACACACGTAAATCGCTTTTACAAAAGACAGGTTTACAGCGATTTCCAGTCTGCAGTTTCTCTGAATAACATCTTGAAAGATGCCAGAACAGTGTGTCTGAACTGGCATGACTGGCAGCCTGGCTGCATAAACCAAACTAGGGGCATTCCTTCGTGCCAGGGTCGTCCTTTGGTGTAAAAAGGACACTTTCAGGAATGTGTGCAAATGAGATGCCTGGCGTTTCTGCACGAAGTCCTTCACGTCTGTTAGTGGAACAAAACCGTACTAAAACAGGGTCTCAGAGAAGCTGTATCTTTGCCCAAACCATGTACTTGGGCATGTTTGGAAAATGTTTCCGACGCAGGAGTGGTCCTGAGCAGAGACCTTCTGGGCAGAGGGTGACGCCAACGAAATGGCCTTGCTTGGCGCTGATGGAAACCTTGGTGTGGCCATTTATGGAAGTCCCATAGAAGAAACTAAATTTGCTTTATCATGCTTCAGTTTTGCCTCTAGCTTTGAATCCCTGATTTCCCTGGTGATATTTTTCTTTTTCTTGAGAATAAGAGCTATAAAACAATCTGTAACTCACTTTCTGTTCTGAACCATGTTCAGCTGTGTGCTAGATGCACGAGGTTTTGTTTTACACCAGCTACATTCTTATTTTATGATACTGATTGGAACATGCTACTTGGTCTCCCTGTGGAACATTTTGTTTATTTTGATAATGAGAGTAGATTTGATGTTGAAACTGTCTCATTGGATGAGGACAGACTCCTGTGAACATTTATAAGATATAAAGATTAAGAGCCCCAGTGGGTCAAGAAAAACCAGATTAACAGGCAACTCGGGAGGATGAAGGTGGCCAGGTACTAAAGGAAAAGGTCTGACCCTGATGCGTTAGATGACGAACACCAAAGCGAGACGCTGGTGCTTAGCCTCGTGTGGGACATGCGGGCTGGGAAGGCCCAAGTTCAGCTCTTCCTGGAGGCGTGTAACATGGCGCAGCGGTTTTAAGTATGATTGCACTTTACTTCTTGAAAGTTTGACACATAGGACATGGCCTGTTAATTCTGGGTTTAGAATCTACACTGAATCTACACTCCCTAGACACAGATATGTGTGTGAGGGGTTCACACCCGTGTCGGTTCACACCTCTATGCTGGCAAAGTGTGAGCCCAGCAAACAAACCAAAAATAATCGATGTGGGAATGACTGCCAATCTTGATTTCACTTTATCATAAAATATTGCATGGTGATCAAAAGTTAGGGTGGGGTGTTGTGTGTTAACAAACACAGATCTCTATGGCTTATTGTTAATTTTTAAGAAGGCACAGGATAATACTTAGAATCTTTTATTTAATTAAGTTTTTGGGGGTGCTCAGGATTCAGATGAGGGCCTCACACAGGCTAGGCAAGTGCTCTACCGCTGAGCTACCCCCAGCCCAGATCTTCCTTTTCAAAAGCTGTTCGTGTATGTGTGCTGTGCATATGACTCTGTGTGTGTGTGTGATGTGATGTGAATTAATAAAAATCTCCTACCAGCAGAGTTGTTCATTCTCCCAAAGAGGGGCGTGACGTTTTGGGCTAATACTGAAGACAGTGTCTGGATTTTGTATATATTTATGCATTTCTAGAGAAGTCAGCCCATGTGTTGCAAGTGTAATGAGAATTCTGTGGCTAAACACAGGGGCAGGTGGGGCAAAGAAGGGCTCAGAAAGGTTGCTTTGAGGAGTCAGGGACAGTGAAGAAACAGTCTGTGGGAGACAGATTTTCTTGCAAGTTCTTGATCTATTTTCAAGGTAGATTTTAACTTCAGGCCGAATGACAGCCCCTCTCGAATCTAGATTTTTTTTTAAATTATAAAAGTTATTTCATAGGTTAGATACCAGTACCTTATCAAATGTGCAATTTGCTGATATTTTCCTCAAGTCTGTGGCTTGTTTTTTGACAATTTTTCGGTTTTTTTTTGTTGTTGTTTTTTTGATTTTAATCTTCACTGGCCTGCGTTGCAGTACACAGCGGTCCCGTGCTCACGGGCGGGCGGTGCTGTTCTTTCCACCCCCCGCCCCGTCTCTCGGTGCCCATCTCTGTCCCCCATGATCTGTCTTTTGTTTTGCTCTTTAACTTCTTACACTTCGGGTTTCTGGTGTCAGAGGCACCGTGCGCTGTTCAGGCTGTGTCTGCTGTGTCCCAGTAAGCCGATTATCACAGCTTTCTGCCGATTTTCCCACAGATTCCGTTTTTCGAAGACATCTGCAAAGGCATCAAGGCGGGCGACACGTGCGAGAAGCTGGTGGGCTACTCCGCGGTGTACCGCGTCTGCTTTGGCATGGCCTGCTTCTTCTTCGTCTTCTGCCTGCTCACCCTGGGGATCAACACGAGCAAAGGCTGTCGCGCCCACATCCACAACGGGTGTGTCCCTGCGGCCCCGCGCCCACTCCCCCAGCCCTTCCTGGGGTAGAGCCCTGGGCACCGATGTGGGGAGCCGGGCGCCACTCCTGGCCTGCTGTTGGGTGGAGACAGATTTATTTCCTGGAGCAAGACCTCCCCAGCTCGTTCCCATCCCCCTCTGAGCAGTGGTGCTTTGCACAGTGTGTGTGGGGGGCGCGAGCTGAGTCTAACTGGGGTCTCCGGTCACTCAATTACTTCCCCTCCATTTGGAGAGAACATTGCCCAGGGCCGGCGGCGACCTGCTGCCTGGCACGAGGGCTTTTGTCCCCCGGAATGCCATTCACGAATACTTCCCCTTGTGGGTTTTCCTGCTCCTCCAGCTTCTGGCTCTTCAAGCTGCTGCTGCTGGGGGCCATGTGTTCCGGAGCCTTCTTCATTCCGGACCAGGACACCTTTCTCAAAGGTACGCACTGCTGGGGCTCCCTGGGGGAGCCTTCCTCCCGCAAGCTAAGCAGGAAGGGCCCCTGAATTCTTGTGTTCAGGGCATGTGTGGGGGCTGGGGTGTGGGTGCTGCCTGCCTGGGGTGGCTCAGGCCCTGGTGCACCTGCAGTGCCCCCAAACGAGCCTTCTCTTCAGCCCCAGTGGGTTCACTTTCCTAACCGAGAGGTTAAAAAAGCACCCACCTTGTGTCAGTCTATAAGACATGATTGTTGTTCCCCAAATGCCACTTATTGGTGTCCAGATAAGTGTTAGGGTCTGCTCGCTTTTCATATGAATGTTAAAACTGTTCATTAATAGTCAGTTAAGAGTGTTATACCCCAGCCTTGCTTTTACCTATAATACTGTTACCTAGCTCTGCAGGGAGATGTTTATGACTGTTCAATACTGTTAAGGAGAGTCTGCTCACAATGAGAAGAGAACTAAAGTCCTCACACCAGCATTTTCAGAGACAGACTGCACCCAGGGGACCTGGGTCACCCAGCGTCACAGCTCCCTTGTGCGGGGCCTTGTTCTCTTCCATACTTGGTCATCTCAGCTATGATTTTTTAGAGACGCATGTTTTGGCTTTGAAACTGTGGGTCTTGGTGTATTTTGTGACTCGCTGCACCTGCTAGGATATCCGGCACAGAGGTCGGGCTTGGGTGTTCCCAACCAGGTGGCCTAGGTTCGACTTGCGATGGTGCCTTGGACAATCTTGGGCTGGGATTTTCCCGGCTGTCCGGCGAGCTACTCTGGCAGCGCCCCTTGTGTGGCGCGTGGAAATCAAAGTTCCGCAGGAGCTGTGAACACACAGTAACATGGGTTCCTCTCTCCTGTGCCTACCCCTGGGTGCCCCGGCCCTCTGACCTGTGCAGTCTGGCGCTACGTGGGGGCCGTCGGAGGCTTCTTCTTCATCGTCATCCAGCTGCTGCTTATGGTGGAGTTCGCACACAAGTGGAACAAGAACTGGTACGTGCTTTCTGGTGGGCGGCGGGCTGCGGGTGGCGGGTGAGGGGTGGGAATGGACTTCACTGTAGGCCCCCGTGCTAATGAGATTAAACATAAAACAGAACAAAACTAAAACTTAAACACTTTGGAACTGGAGACTCATGTTGAGCAAAGAATATGTGGTAGAGCTGGGCATGGTGTGCATATCTGTAATCCTTACTCAGGAGGCTGAGGCGGGAGGATCTCGATTTCAAGTCCCACATGAGCAACTGAAAGAGAGCCTGTCTCAAAATAAAATTGAAAAGAAAAAAATGGGCAGGGAGTGTAGCTCACTGGTAGAGCACTTGCCTATTATGTGGGTGGTCCTGGGTTCAATCCCTAGTGCCATGAAAAACAAAAAAGATTATGAAATGGAGTAGTTCTGTCCTTCTTCATTTATTTATTTTTTGTTTCATCTTACCTTCTCACAGAGAAAAAGATCCATTCACTAGGAAGATCGGTTGTCCTAACTTAGAAAGCCATCCATACTAACGCTAAAAACCTGTCGTGGTGGTGCACGCCTATAATCCCAGCACTCAGGAGGCTGAGGCAGGAGGATCGTTGCGAGTTCAAGGCCAGCCTGGGCTACAAAGGGAGCTGAATGCCAGCCTGAACTGCATAGCGAGATCCTGCCTCAAAAAGACAAAACACACACACACACACACACACACACACACACACTCACACACACACACAAAACATACTAACGCTAAAAACATAAACTTTTAGCTAGGCATGGTAGCTCATACCTGAAATCTCAGTACTCTGGGAGGCTGAGGCAGGAAGATTGAAAGTTTGTGCCCACCCTGGGTAACTTAGTGATTTAAGAAAACCCTGTCTCAAAATTTTAAAAAATACATTTTTTAAATGGCTGGTGATGTAGCTCAGTGTAGTGTAGAGGCCCTGAGTTCAATCCCCACCCACAACCATGGGCTTAAATAAATAAATAAATAAATACATAAATAAATAAACTCTAAGTGCCTTGAAAGTGGAATTCACACCCCAGGCCGAGTGGGAAATGCTGATAGAAAGCTGGGCTTTTCCATTTCCTTGCTGAGGAAGTGAGAGCCATTGAGCTGTCAGCCCTTGAGTGCAGGGCCGGTGGACTCTGATTCTCAGCAAAGTATGAGGCCGCCTGTCTTTTTTCTTCACTTCGTAATAATTTTCTGTAGTGCCAGTAAGGTGTCCATTGCTTTATAGATTTTACGGGTATCCTTTTATTTTGTTCTGAATTTTGAAAAAAAGGCAAAAGCGCCATTTGGATGTGGATTTTTTTTTTTTTTTTTGTCTTGGGCGAGACAAAACACTGCCCAAATTTGCCCAGTACTTTTCATTTTTGTTATATTCTTTATCTTGGTAGTTGTTTTTTGTGTCTGCTTTTGTTGTTTGAGAATTAAATAGTGAAATGCACTTACTTTTGCTGGGATATATGAGTAAAAAGGTAGAGTAAATTCTTTAGTAAATATTGGATTAAGCACAGCCAAATATGACCGATCTTTTAAATGTTTACATTTAGTAGTCATACAAATAGCACTAGCACCATCAGTCGTGTGGACTTTCAGGACTGAGACGTGCTGTTTTTTTCCTTTGGATATTACAAACCAGACCATAATCTTCACACTGAGTTACATCCCCAGTCCTTAACAAACAAACAGCAGAAAATAAAGCTTTTAATTTTGAGACAGGGTTTTTCTCTCTCTGCCTCAGCCTCCCGGTGCTGGGTTACAGGTGCACCATCTCTCCTGCTGTAGGAATTACAGCACACTCTTTGGAACCTAGTAATTTATGTTACCGTCTCCCCTGGATCTTGTTTTGCACCAGCTGTTTTCTTAAAGATCGACTGGATATGGGATAATAGTTTTGCATGATCCTATTTTCTGATTTGTCCAGAGGAAATGACCATGAAAACTTTGCAGTGTATTTAATTGGTTGACGCTCCACTTGGCCCACTAATTCTTCCCGTGTGCACTTTCATGGGGGCTTTCGTTTCCTATCCGGCGAAGTCAGTGCTTCTTCCTGCAGTTGTCAGAACAGCTTCAGCTGGGCCCTCCCCGTCCCCATCCGCACCTCACCCATGGCCGGGGACCCTGGGGGCCCCCAGCTCTGCCCTCCCACTTTCATGCTGAGACTGAGTCTGAACGTTTGGGCAGAGGTTCTGGGAGAGCTCAGTGGCTTTAAAAACTCTAGAAGCCATTCAACCCAAAGAGCTTTGCAGCAGGCAGAGTCGCTGTTCTCCAGGGCAGGCCAAGCCCCGACCGAGCCCTCAGTCAGCACGTTTGTTGCCGGTCTGTCTGCCATGGTTAGGAATAAGCTAAGAAGGTCGGCAGGACCATTCCTTTCTTTCAGATGTATCTGATTGGTGGTTTTCTCTGGCTTTTTATTTTTATTTTTAATTAATTAATTAATTTATTTATTTTGGTCTTTTTTGAGACAGGGTCTCACTATGCAGTTCAGGCTGGCCTTGAGCTCACTTTGTAGCCCAGGCTGGTCTCGAACTTGCAACGATCCTCCTGCCTCAGCCTCCCGAGTGCTGGGATTACAGGTGTGCACCACCACGCCCGGCTTCTCTGGCTTTTTAAAAAAGCGATTCTTAGAGGGTTCTGGGGTTCATTTATTTATTTATTTATTTATTTATTTTTATTTTAAAAATAAAAGGAGGAAATATTGACAGACAACCTTTTACAAAACAGCAGAAGAACAGCACAGATAATACACAGTTACAAAGAAAGTGGAAATTAACAATGCTTGTTGTATTACGTATTGATATCTTCAAAGTGGTTTCTCATGAAAACAGAGACGTGCAATATTGATCAATCAAGGACTCATTAACAGTTTCTTTCAGCAAAGAAATAGAAGACAGTAGATCAACTATGTTAACTATCCTGTATAGGCATACATAGGAAATTTCTCCTCCTTTCTCTGGGGTTCATTTAGAAAGTGTACTCACTACTCCCCAGGGACCAGCCACAAGGCTCCCTCTTCCCATTCCTGTTCTCTTTCCGAGCTGCCCCCAGAGCCCTAGGACGGGAATGCCGGGATGGAAGCAGAAGGCAGGTGTCTGAGCCCTCGCCCGGCCCTCTAGCTCCCTGCATGCGGGTTTTCCCACTAGAGAGTGTGCAGGCGGCTGGGCTGGAAGTGAGATGGGGTTTCTCCTTCTGAGCTCAAATTGCGGGATGGAAGTGCCATTCTGAACCAGAGCGGGGGCAACAACAAGCAGGTTGGGTGTCCGGGTGTTCTAACCAGGCTCAGCTTCAAACTGCGTTTGGTGCCCACGACTCCGCCCCGCTGCCCCCGCCAGAGTGTGTGCGCGCTTTGTGAGGTCGCGTTAACTGTGGCTGCTGAAGTCACAGAGCTCGTGTGGACCATCGCCGAAACCAAGGTGCCACCCGAGGGCCAGGTGGAGGCGGGGCCGTGGCGCAGCAGCCTCTGCTAACTCCAGAGCTGCTGCAGAAAGTGGCAAGGGCGGCAGGGTTAGAGTGTGTGGAGGGGAGGGGAGGGTTTTGAGAGGATCGTGGCGGTGTGTCTTTGTAGCGCATCTTTCGCAATTTACACGTTCCCCGTGTTTTCCGATCCCCCTCATGTGATTTTCTTTGCGCCCTTCCCGCGAGGGGCAGTCCAGTAGGGACCCGACCATGCTGCCTGAGTGGGGTCCACTCTGCCCGGGAGTGGAGTGGGCATCCAGCACCAAATCAAACAAGTCTACATGGGTTCAGCGTGAGAAAGCAGTCCCAAAAGACCCCGGGAGGCAGGGCGCTCTCCTCCGCTGTGGGCAAGCCGGAGGTGGACTTGCTTGGCCTCAAGCTGGCCGGGCTCCCTTGAGGAGGGAGGGCCACCGCGTCCTGGCCCGGTGGCAGTGGGGTTAGGTCATGTCTGGGCCAAAGGCAGGGACGTGGATGGTCAGAGGAGGTCGCAGGCCCCTTGTGTGTAATCCTCCTTGCCACGGAGGCTGGCTTGCTCTCGACTTTCTCCTCGCTGTTTGGCGTCTGTTTCCTTCCTGTGTCTTCCATGTTAGAACAACCGTGTGGCCACTGGCGTCCTGGCCGGTTCCCGGGGCACTGTGCTCCCTCTCTCTTGGGCGGTTCCTCCCCTTACCCTGGTTCCTGGCAGCAGTCATGCCAGTCCCTGAGACGTAGACGTCAGAGGTGAGAGGTGTGTGATCGCCTCCGGCTTCGGGGGACACGAAGCCAGCTGCCTTCTCTGCGGAGGCTTGGGGTGGGTTTCAGAATGCTCCCGAGTCACGAGCAGATGAAGCCACCCCACCGCGCCCCCGCTGTTCTGTCCTCTCCGGGCGTGGGTGCACAGAACACTCTACCCTTTGTTCTGAACATGGCTGCTCTTCAAACCGCCACCTCCCTCTCCCTCCCTCTATTAATATTTATAAATTAGAAAGCACATTCATCCCTTCCTTTAGTTTCTTTATAGTTCATCCCATAGCGATATTTCTCAGCCTGATTACGTCCCCTGTTTTGTCTTTAATATTTGTTATTAGTAGTAAATGTTTGTGATACATAACAATTACATGCGTTTCGGGAATCGGTACCACTCCTCGTCGAATCTTGGTCATGTTTACCCCCGTTCCTCCTCTGGATTGCCTGTCTTTGAACGCACAGTTCTTCAAGATTCCCTGGTATTGCCAGGTGTGCTGGTAATCTCATGCTGGTAATCCCACTCTCAGGAGGCTGAGGCAGAAGGATCACTGTGAGTTCAAGGCCAGCCTGAACTATATAGTGAGATCCTGTCTCAAAAAAAGAAAGCAAAACAAACTAAGAAAAGATTTCCTGATACTATTCTGGAGAAGCGGGGCTCCCGCAGCCCCTCCTCTGAGTGCGGGAGGGACGCGCACACGCCGGTCGTGCTCCCAGCGAGTTCTTGCCCCTCTGCCTGGGACGGTGGCCCTGCCCTGCAGTGAGGGCTGGCATGACTTGGGCTCCACATGCTGCAGGCCTCGTTGGCACTGCCTTCATTGTGCCAGCCCCCGTCCTGGCTTGGCGAGCCGAGCAAGGAGCTAGGATGGAGCCCAGGGTGTCATCTGTCTTGACTGGGGAGCATACTTGAGTCTGGAAAGTGGTCTCTCAGCCAAGCCTGAGCTGGAACCGGGAATCTTGAGTATGCGCGGGACATTGTCACTGTGACAGAGCCTGATCGTTGCTAGCGGGGTCTCAGGACAGCGGTTTGGTGGCCGCCAAGGCTGGCTGACCTCAGAGGTCGAGGTGGCCCTGACTTGGCCTTGTCTTCTCTCTCCTGTCCTCCTCCTCCGCCTGGGGAAACAGGACGGCTGGCACGGCCAGCAACAAGCTGTGGTACGCGGCCCTGTCCCTGGTCACCCTCATCATGTACTCCATCGCCACTGGAGGCCTGGTGCTGATGGCCGTGTTCTACACCCAGCTCGAGGGCTGCACACAGAACAAGATCTTCCTGGGCGTGAACGGAGGCCTGTGCCTGCTGATCTCTGTGGCCGCCATCTCTCCCTGCGTCCAGAACCGTAAGCCCTGGTCTCCCTCCTGCGTACTTGTGCTGCTTGCTTTGGAATGACAGTCACACTCGGGACTGCTGTGGCCGGTGTGCAGTTGGAGGGGGGCGGGGCTTCCTTCCCTGGCTGGGCAGGAGGTGACAGCCACATTTACCCAGGGCCGGAAGGACCTGCACTGGACAGAGCTGGTCCTAGGCAGGAGGATGGCTGGGCTCGGTGCTCCAAAAGGGGCTGTGGCTGGGTGGCATCGGGACAGTGCCGTGACCTGTGTAGCTGGAAACAGGGGACATGGCTGGCAGCAGCTGCGTCCATGGAGACCCTGGCTCCTCCCACACAGGGCGAGCGAGCGCCAGCCTTGAGCGTGGCTGTTCCAAAGCTAGGTGACCACGGGGTCTGCGTCATTAACAAGTGACCTCTGGCGTCACAGCCCTCGGTGCACTGCTCTGTCCTGGCCTGACCTGTCCTGTCCTGCAGGGGATTCCCATGCGTGGCACTCAGATTTCCAGATAAGGCAAGAGAAACACAGCGGCACGTGCAGAGCCCCGTGAAGTGTTTCTAACGTGGTGAGCTGACGGTCCCTGAGATGGGCCTGTCCTGTGCTGCCGTGACAGCCATGTGTGCCACCTGAGGGTGCCAGCCGTCCAGCACAAGACAGGCGAGTTCCAACCCTGCTGTGAATGCATCTGACAGGCGCCCAGCAGCGGGTCATAGTTCAGGGCTAGAACATTTTCAGCTCTAACAGTTTCAAGCCCGTTGTTGAGCCTGAGATGCCATTCTCCCACCCCTTCCGCGGATCCATTAGGAATTTCCTGAAACGCGATCGGTATTCAGGTTAAACTCTGCTTTGCATCCAGTCCCCCTTGTAGAATAGGTGAGACATTCTTAAATCTAGTCCCCCTTGTAGAATAGGTGAGACATTCTTAAATGTTCTGTTTAAAGCCCTTAGACATTAAGGTAAGTCTGACTTTCATGTCTGAGAGCAGTGTTATAAAAGAGTCTTTTCATAGACTCTGTGGGTGATTATAATTTAATAATGATAATTTTGGAAACAAATTAACCAGGAGGGAAGACTGAATCCTGTCATGTAGTTGATCATGTGGTTACAAGTTTCACCAAGCCGGGCGTGGTGGCACATGCCTGTAATCCCAGCACTCGGGAGGCTGAGACAGGAGGATCGCCACGAGTTCAAGGCCAGCCTAAGCTACATGGTGAGTTCAAGGCAGCCTGACCTACTCAGCGAGACCCTGTCTCAAAAAATAAAACAAAACAAAAAGTAATCCCATATGTTGAGGATCCTCTGAATGATTGCACCAGTGCATTTAATTTAGTTTAAAATTAAAACTCTTTCCCACTGAGTCCCGAGCCCTGTAGCTTCTCCCTTTTGCCTGGACCGGCTGACACTTAGTGTACACAGAGGTGGCCTTGGCTGTTGGCAGGTGGCAGCGTGTCTGTGCCACCGTGGGCTGTGTCTGATGGCTCCTAGAATCCAGAGTACGAGCCCTGTGCAGTCTGTCCCATCATTTACCGCTGTGCTGTGTAGCCCCACAAAGAAATGACAGCCCCACAAAGTAAATGTTTTTCTGACCTTGTGGCTTAAGCACGAGCGTTGTAAAACGCAGAGGAACTCGTGTAAGTACAGCTGTAGTCTGATGTGGCACTGGTGGGTAAGTTGGCAGAGGGTGGCATCTCTAAAATAGTAGGACGTAGCTGGACTTGGTGGTGGACGCCTGTAATCCTGGCACTCTGGGAGACTGAGGCAGGAGGATTGCCACAAGTTCAAGGCCAGCCTGGGCTACAGAGCAAGACTTTGCCTCAACCAAAACCAAACCAAACCAAACCAGTATTCAGCTAGTGTAGGACTCCCTCCCGCTCAGTTTTAGTTTTATTTAAGAAACTCATTGTCCAGCTCTTTTCTTTCCTGAAAGGGTACCCGCATGTGGGGAGTGTGATTGTGTCGGGATATGGGGTGGGTGTGTTTTCCGAGGCTGGCGCTGCCTCCCCCGGGAGCTGAGAGCTCACCTCTGTGCCTCGTTCCTCCAGGACAGCCGCACTCAGGGCTGCTGCAGTCGGGCCTCATCAGCTGCTACGTGGCCTACCTGACCCTCTCGGCGCTGTCCAGCAAGCCCCCGGATGTGGGTGAGTAGTGCGGGCCAAGGGCGAGCGGGGGTGGGAGATGGAGGACTCAGCCAGTCAGAGGAGAGAGATCTGGTGAAGCAGAGCCTCCGGCAGGGGCTGCACAGACAGACACCCTTGGGCCTGGGGCTTTGTTTTGTGTTGGTTTCAGTTGATCACTGATTTTCTTTTCTGTAGATCATTTGTCTGATGTAGCAGAGAAAGCAGAAGGAACACAGGGGAAGGGAAGCAGCAGACAGGGTTCAGAGTCAGGCTCACCCCTTGCTGGCAGGGTGACCCCCGGTGCCGTCTTAAATGGCATTACTTACGGAAATGGCGAACATAGCGGTTAGCGCGTGGCTTTGGAGCCAGGCTGCCTAGCTTCGTAGATTGGGTCTTGAGAGCGGATCTGTTCATTCATTCATTCATCGACAGGGTCTGGCTGTGTAAGTTTAGGCTGTCCTTGAACTCAGTATGTAGCCCCGGCTGGCCTCAAACTCGCAATGATGCCCCTGCCTCAGCGTACCCAGTGCTGGGATCACAGGCGTGAGGCACTACGCCGGCTGGAGTGGTTATAAAGTGCAGTTAGACTGACTGCTGTGCGTATCAGACGCTTAGAGCAGTTCCCAGCGCGGGGCAGGTGCTGTGTAAGGGTTAGCTGGTCATATGTACAGTTGCTGTGGTTACTCAAAAAGGGGTTTTAAGCTGTATAGCACAGTTGTATTCTAAGTGTTATTCTGAGCCCCTGGGGTTTGCCAGTACAAGAAAAAAAAAACATCTTTTTTATTTCCAACTCATTCTCTTTCATTCATATCGTGTTTGTGCTGTGTACGCACACACATGCACGCCCCCTCTATGTGTGACTGTGTACATGTTTGGGGGTATTTGATCTTGTCTAAGTCAAGTAATGTGTCTTCAGAATAGAAAACTGAAGTTCACATTTAGGAAATACATGTAATGATAATTTTGAAGGGTTTTGAAGCAGGAAGATAGCTGTGAGTTTAAGGTCAGCCTGGGATACATGGTGAGTCCAAGGCCAGCCTGAACTACAGAGCAAGACCCTGTCTCAGAAAGAATCTTCCTTTGAAGGTTTTAGCATCTACACATGCTATTTGTGGGTGTTTTCTGTTTTCTCCCCAGAACTGGGGATCAGAACCCATGTTCTTTACTCTGAGCTGTATCCCAGGCCTTTTTATTTTTGATCTTGAGAAATAGTCTGAAGTTACCTTGGCTATTTTGAACTTGTAATTCTCCTGCCTCAGCCTCCCGGAGCTGGGATGATAGTCATGAGCTACTGTATGTGGCTGGGTCTTGTCTTGAGAGCTATTTATAATGGGAAAGGATATAAATTTTAGAGGTTGTATAGTAAATATAGCCTGTCCCGGACTAAATTTTTTAAAAACAGCCCTATCTTGACTTTCTATTTATTTAAATCCAATCTCTTTAAGACTTTCTTTTATGTTTATATATTAGTCTGTGGTTTTAACTTAGTGGGGTTTTTATTTATAGTATATATATATATATATTTTTAACAGCAAGTATCACTTAAAATAGGGAAACACTTTGATTTTTAGTTTCAGGCGGTACTACTTAAATACAAAGTCACATTTTGTTCATTTTTCTGAAATTTTGTTTCACTTGGCCTAAGAACAAAGATTGCTTTTTAAAACCACAGCATACAGTTATATTTACTGCTTCAAGTGTGAATTCTGGTGATAATTTTAGTTTAACTTTAGACAGAACATCTGTGTTTGTTGAATGGTTTTTAGAGTGTTATTTTACGTTTATGTTCCTTATTTTGGGGCCAAGTTGTCAATCAGACCTAATTTGGGTGTTCAAAATTGGAGAAAGATACCATTTTAGACAAAAAGTAGATTACTACTGATGATAATATTGTAGATGTATTATTATCTGTTATAGCACAATATTAATAATGTAACATTGTAGGAATCTTCATATGCAGCCTTCTCAGTCTTTGTAGAACCCGTCAGGAGCTCCTGGGCACACACAGGACATCTGTAGCAAACTGACTTCTCCCCCGGGTTGGGAGAGGGCCAGGTGCTGCCATACCTCTCTTCCTTGTGGCTGTTGACCAACTCAGCACTCAGGAATCCCCACAGCTTGTTCCTCTCTCTGCAGAGGCTGCCAAATCCAGCGAAAAATTGACCCAGTGGTTCTTTTTAGCCTTGTTTGAGTAGCCCTGAGAAAGCATTCCTGACTCCTAGAATTGTCACATGTTAGCCCTAACCTGCAAGACGAGGCTCTTCTTTCTTTTTTTTCCTGAGATGGGATATCCCTGTGTAGCCCACATTGGCCCTCAAACTTGCGCTGATTCTCCCGCCTCAGCCTTCCAAGTGTGCCATAGGGGTGTACCACTGTTCCTTCTTTTTTATATTTTCTCACCTGAGGGTCTTGTTCCCAGCATGCGCTGATGTGGGAGAAGGGCGCTTTGAAACCACACAGCCTGCATCTGTGTGGACGCTCACATGGAGAGCTGGTCCCCCGGGGTGCTGGTCTGGCGTTGTAAGGGGCCTGGAGCCCCCGAATTCCTCCCATTGGTGCCCCTTGGGACCCCAGTGGCTTCTCTAACGGGACTGTGATGGTTTGTTTTCTGCCAAGTCCTGGACGAGCATGGGAAGAACGTGACAATCTGCGTGCCCAGCTTCGGCCAGGACCTGTACCGAGACGAGAACCTGGTGACCTGGCTGGGCACCGCGCTGCTCATCGCCTGCATCCTGTACTCCTGGTGAGTCCTGTCCTGCGCCAGACCAGCCGCGGCCATGAGGGTGACGGGAGGAGATGCGCGTCTTTCTGCTGCCAGTGTGGCCGCAGTGACGGAGAAGGGGCTGAGGTTGGCCTGGGGCTGTCCACCTCCGCCGAGGGCCTGGCCCAGCCATGGGAGGGAGGGCGTCCCGAAGGCTGCAGCAGGCTTACCTCTAAAGGGGGAGAGCACACAGCAAGAGGAGATGGGGCGCCAGAGCTCTGGTCTCACTGGGACCCACCGCAGTGGTTTCTGTCCTGCGGCCGAGGGCTGAATGCAGAGTGCACACCCGGACAGGAGCCCGCGGTGCTGGGGAGCAGGGCCCGGGCAGGGTCCTGGATGGCTGGGGGGCCGCTCGCCGTGCCAAAGGTTTCAGAGCTGCTGGAGAGAGACGCCGAGGACAGATACCGGTAGCTACTGACTCTGAATGCATCTCACTAAACGCTGAGCTTCTTTTTACATAAGCAACACTTTCACAGTGAGGTCCCCCCGTGTGTTTTGCGCGTTACATTTCAGGACGTGAGAAGTTCAACTCACCCTAGACACATTGCCATGCTCCTGCTGCTGGAGCAAAGCATCCCGGCGAGGACAGCACCTGCTCGTAAGATGCCTTTCCATCCACAAATGGTGGTGCTGTTACGAGGGGTGCCCAGGACCTGCACCCCGAGAGTCAGTTTGCCTAGGGTTACGTGTCTGGCCATAAGAGGGGGAAATCGCAGTTGTCTAGTGCTGATCCTGACGGAGCCTCCTGGCCAAAGCAGAAGGAACTGTCACGGCCCCTCTCTGGTCTCCCGCTGGGGCTGGAGCCAGACGTCCTCAGCTGTGGCCTTGTCTTGTCCTTTGAGGCCTCACAGCTTCACAGGTCAATCAAGGCCTCAGGGTGACCCGGGACTCACAGAGGTTCACTTACTGTGAGTCCAACCCCATCTCCAGACAAAGGGCTGAAGCTTCAAACAATTCACAAATAAACATGGAAAACCAGTTGGTTAATATTAAGGTTAATATTAAATCCTTCTCAGAGCTGCTCTGTAGGGGTCTCTAACACATATATATATGTACATCCAGGGGAGAGACAACAAAGCTTGTAATGGTGGCACTAGTGATAAGGGGTTTTTCCCTTCTTTTTATTTTTAAATGTTTTCTATAACGGAATAGCACTTCTTCTTCAGATTGCCAGAAGAATGTATGAAAAGGTATTCAATGGAATAAAATCATGTGTTTTCTGTGGGTTGGTGGGTACTTGATAAAACGGAAAAAAGTTTGCCCCTTTGATAAAACGGGATATGGATTTGTGTAAGCCCATCTGTGGGAGAGATGGAGAACCTTATCCCGAGCGTGCTGCGTAGAGTTGCTGTACGTGGAGTTATTAAAGCATGGACTTCTCACAGATCTTCACTGTGTCTAGTGGGTGGGAAGAATTTGCCTTTTTTTTTTTCTTTTTTTGACATGGGGTCTTGCTATGTAACATAGCCCAGCATGGTCTCGAGCTCACAGCCCTCCTCCTGCCTCAGCCTCCCAAGTGCCGGGAGCACAGGCGTCATGCCCGGCATGCGAAGCGTCACTTTTGAGTCACCCTGCATCTGCCCTGGGTGAGAGCTAAAAGATGAAGCGTTGTCACGTTCAGAATGGAGGCTGACAGGGCTGGTCTGATGTCGCCAGGAGATCTCAGTGGTCGGTGCTGTTCGCAGTCTGGCCAAGGCTGATGTGTTGTGAGTCTGTTGAACGCTGGTGATGAAGCAGCACTGAGGCAGGGGCCAAAGGACCGAGGAGAAGATGGCAGCTTTGTGAAGCAGCCGCGTGTACGCAGGCCCCTAGGGAGACGTGGGGCTGCACGTGTCTTCCTGCCGGGACTTGGGGTCTGGGGATGGATGTGCCTGTCATCAGCTCCGGCAGCCCTGGGAGGACTTGACTCACCAGCTTTGAGGTCACGGGGAAGTGAGTTCAGACTGGGGGCGTCAGCCCAGTGAGGGCTCAGAAGAAAAAGAGGTCAGATGATACAACAGAAAGTGGCTGCGTTGTTTGGGTGGAAATAAAGACACTCAGCAAAGAGGACACCCAGGGGCCTTTGACACTCAATAGGGACAGGGAGGGGACCGTGTTCCCTGAGGTGCGCCAGGCGGTTGGGTCACGTGGTGAGGAACATGTCGGTGTTGGAACTTCTGAGCTGTGACTTCCGAGTCAGCGTTTCGCTGCAGACTCCCTGCTGAGCTGCAGCGTGGCCTTGAAGACAGGAGGGTGAAGTAACTGTGATTTCCATGGTTGTTGCTCCGTTGGCTTCAAGCTCAAACTGTTGGGCTAGACAGGACCCTGGAGTCCAGGAGATATAGTGAATGTTTAAGTTTTAGGAGTTTATTATAGTAGAAGACACATTGCCAGAAACCCCTCTCAAAATCCTCCTCCCCTTGGCCTTAAACACACGATCCCATCATCTGTGCTGCTTCCTGCAGCAGGTCTGGGTGTCCTCTTTCCTGAGGGTCGTTAGTGCTGTCCTGGCTACCTGCTTGTCCTGAATTGATTCAAAACATTGCTCTTTCGTGGTCATTTTGACTTCGGAGAAGATCCACAAGTTGCATGGTGCCAGGCCCAGTGAATAAGGTAGATAAGGAGACAGCATCATGTCTTCATATGACAGAAACTGCAGTAGATGGTTGATTAAGGGGATGATCAAAAATGCAGTAAATGTCTAAATTTAAAAATGCTTTACATTTTTTTTTTGTTTTTCTTCTGGTACCAGGAATCGAACTCAGGACCTTGGGCTTTGCCGCTGAGCTAAATCCCCAGCCCAAAAATGCATTACAGTTGTAAAAGACACGTTGCCTCACAACATGTTTGGAATACTCCTTTCACTTTGAACACAATTATCCCATCATTATTGGGAGTGTGTCTTTTACAATAGTAAGTTTTTAAAAATTTAAATATGTACCACATCTTGCCTCTTTTACAAGGAGCTCTCCACCCAGTTTTGGGAATACGTTCTCCGGGTGTCCTTGGCGGAGCGCCCGTCTTTCCTCGGCCGCTCCCTGAACGGCGTGGAGCGCTGTGGTCTTTCCTCCCCCGCTGCCCGTTGCCCAGGCTCCGGAGTTCTCCCTGGGAACTGTGCAGGAGGAGGGGGAGAAACTGCCAGTGCTGTGAAATGTTTCAGGCTCTCAGTTTTAGTGACACTTAAGAGGAAAAAATAACACTCCAGTGTTTGAGCCATCTAGGAAATTCCTGGAAGACAAAATTGCAAAAGCTAAGAATCGTTACTAGATGTCAAACAGCTTCCTGGTCAGAAATGCGACCTTTGCCACACTGGAGCAGACCTTGTGGTCGAGGCTGTACAGTCACCGAGAGAAAACCAAAGGGAGGATTTTATTCTTCTGCTGTGTGCTGGGCCTGCCAGCTAGAGGTCTTCCTGCCTCCTTCCAGGACAGAGTGGCCTCCCCTCCCCAGCTCCCGCTGGACTTGGGCTCCCTTCTGCATCCCCCAGTCACCCAGAGACAGGACAGCGAGACCAGGGAGCACTCGCACGCACAAGGCTGGGCTTGCAGGGCTGCGGCCAGGGCCAGGAGGGCGGGACCTGTGATTGCAGCAGCAGGGTCAGACGCGCGCTTCAGAGAGTTCCAGCATCACCGGAGCAGGTCCCTCCGTGATGTGGGAGAGGCTAGTGCCACCGCGGGTTCTGGGGGTGGGAAGCCAGCGGACGTGTTTGGGGCACTCTTGACTGCAGGTGCTTACGGGATCTATGGGCAGGCAGGATAGGAAACGTCCTGAGTGCCGGCGACGAGCCCTGTCCCCGGACCCTTAGTGTCGCCCCGCAGGAAGGGCTGGCTTTGCACCACCTGGACCTTAGCCCAGAGAGGGGTTTTCAGGGTGCCCAGAGCTGTTTCCAGCCATTCGCACTGTGCTGACGGACAGACAGGTGTGGGCCGGAGCCACACAGACAGGATACTGCGACGTCCACTGCAGAAGCACGGGCACCACGGTGGCTCCGGGAGAGTGGGTTTCGGGCAAGGCTGTGCATGACTGAGCTCAGACCCGAGGGGCGAAGCGTCTCCTCTAGAAGTCTGCTCACTCAGGTGGGGCTGGATGTAAACGTGTTTCCAAGTCAAAGTGTTCAGGTATAAGAACAAACGCTTGCCCGTCTTAGTGCCCTCTGATGGCGAGACTCTTCAACGTGGAGGGGGTTGGCATCAAACGCTTTGTCTTTTTGAGCCCATCTTACTGCACATAATTTATAAACACAACACTTGCTGTGTAGCTCTTGAAGAATATTCACCCATGATCTTTCAGTTGAAGGTTGCAGGCATTAATCTCATCCCCAAACCAGGTTCTGCTTTCCCGGGTGGATGCGGTGCCCTGCACTACAGAACCATGCGTGTGCCCGAGGCCTGAGTGCTGAGCTGGCGTGCGCGGCCCTGGCCAGCTCGGGTGGTGCCAGGCAGGACCGTGACCTTTTTTACTATGCGTCCCTGTGGGTTTTCAGGAAATACTTGCAAAGTGGCTCTGTAGAGTTAGCTGGAATCTTGAGTGCCGCAGATATTTCAGTTTTCATAAAGTGTTTCCATATTTTGGATTTTAGAAAAAAAAAAAAAATCGGTTTGATCAAAAAATACGGTGAATGTTTAAATTTTTGTTGCTGTTGGTGTTAATTACTACACTAAAAGACCCATTGCCGTGAGTCCCCCTCAAAATCCTCGTCTCGCTTTAGACACTGGTCTCACAGTTCTTGTCACATTCTGCAGCAGCTCTGGCGTCCTCTTTCCTAAGGGTCTTTAGCTGCACTATGCTGGCTGCCTCGATGTCCTGAATTCATTTAAAATGTTTCCCTTTCCTGGTCACTGTGACCTGGGGAAGAGACAGAAGGTTCAGCGTCAGATCTGGTGACTGAGGTGGCTGAGGACTCAGCATCGTGTTTTCACAAGTCTGCCTTTCCTCTGGATGGTGCTCGACAGCAGCGCTCACTGTGTTGTTGATCACACCTTGTAAAGACCCTCGGGAAAGAGGACTCCAGAGCTGCTGCAGAAAGGGGCAAGAATAATGGGATGTGTTCAAAGCAAGGGGAGGGCTTTGAGGCGCATTCAGGCCAATGTATCCTTCCCTGTAATGTTTTTAGAATTTAAACAGTTGCCATATATTTTGATCATGTTAGAAGTAAGCCCCCAGACTCAGATTGTTGGTGCTGGGAAGATTGCACTCAATCACGAGGCAAGCAGTCTCATAAGACAAAGTTTAGTTTACTTCTGCAGAAAGGTACAAAATGAGGTGCAGGCGTGCAGGACAGAGGAGGGTCGACCCTTTGACCCCCAGTGCAGGAGAAGCAGCTGACCTGTAATTCCTCAGCAGCATCAAAGCCTCCTTCTCCCAGTCACACCTTTAAATAGTTTACCCACGTTTATCCCCCTGAGGCTCATGGCGTTTTACCTTTAGAGGTGCAGCAGAGCCGGTGGGAAGCTTTGGATGTGCTGACACCTTCTGCTCCGTGTCCACAGGCAGCCTTTGCTTTGCCGCCAGCTGGCTGTTACAGTGGGTGGCTGTGACCTTTGTGTTTGTCCGGCTTCTGTTTCCGCTGTCCTCTTTGGTCCCCGTAAGTGAGACTACTCTCAGGGCAGGAGGGATAAAAGTGAAATCAGGACATCACAGAAGCAGTTAGGGTGGAGAGGCAAAAACCACTGCTAAAAACCAAGACAGGACCAAGACCTCTTGCTTCCCTACCCACAGACCTCTTTGCACACACAGTGATGTCACACAACCCGCTCAGAAAGACGTCTGAGAGCGTCAGCCAGCCGCTGGGGATGAAATGGGCTGCGAGCCTGCGGGCAGCCCGCAGGGTTGGGGCCGAGTCCCCTGCGCCCACACTCAGGCGAGTGGACGCTCACGACCCCGGGTCCCGCGGTGCAGAACCTCCGCGCCCCTCCTGTGCTCTAACTTTCCTCGGGGTTATTGTGTAACACCTGGCCCAGTGCGAATGCAGTGTAAATACTCCTTGTACCATAGTTAGGGAAAAAGGACAAGGGGAAAAAACCAGATGCTGGGTATGTGTCTTCAAGTCCTTTCTGTTCTATTTTACAGTTTTTACGAGTCCTGTTTGCAGTGCGTAATGGTCAGTCCTCATGGGGAGGCAGTGGTGCATACAGAGCATTTTAATTCTTTTCATGACCCCGCCCTTCCCCTCCCCTCCTCGCACTCCATTACTTTGTCCCCTTCCTATTAGCAAAAGATCTGTCTCCTTGATTTCTAGCATCTGTCTTTTATTTTGCTCTTTATGTATATCTTAGGTTTCTCATGGAAGAGAAGCCTTGTGATATTCAAGCTGTGTGTCTAGTTTATTTCACTTAAGTTATGGTCTCAGGGTGCATCCGCTTTCCTACAAAGCACTCCAGGTTGTCCTTCACGGCAGAGTAGCACTCCATTGTTGTAAATACCAGCTCTTCTTTATCCATTCATCTGTCGGTGGGTATTTTTGATTCACAGTGGGTTAAGTCTGCGGGTGTCAGCAGTGGGGCACCATGCTCGTATCGAGCTCGAGCACCCCGTGAGCTGTCACTGGAGCCTGGCCTGCGATGGCTGTGCCCTGTGTCCCAGGTGACCGAACATGGTAATGTGCCTCGCTGACTTTCTGTTTGTTTTCTAGCTTGACGTCAACCACGAGAGCCAGTTCCGATGCCCTGAAGGGCCGATACGCAGCTCCAGAGCTGGAGGTGAGTGTGCTTCCTCTGCCACCCGATTCTCAAGTGGCCTCCGTGTCTGTCCGTGGGATTCTGCCTTCCATGGGCCTGAGCTGAGACAGAGCAGGGCTGGGGCGGAGAGAAAGGAATATGGTGCCGTGTGTGGCGTGGGTTAGAAGAACCAGCTGGAGTTGCCTTGGTTTCCGGCCCACCCCACGGTCCCTTGCTGGGTCCCACTGCCACTCCCCTGGCCTGCGTGACCCGTACCACGCCCTGTCCTGCCCTCTCATCGGCACCCGTGTCCACACATCTGTTTCATGCCTACCACCGTGTGGTCTGCAACATCCAGATGCAGGGGAGGTGGGCGCGGTGCAGGCTGCTGGACACGGTGGACGCGTTAGATCACCACCCGCGCCTCTTCCCTCAGGCGACACAGCCCTGGGTAGAGAACTGTGGACACTGGGCATGGTGCTGCATGCCTGTAACCCCAGCACTCTGGGAGTCTGAGGCAGGAAGATCACAAATTGGAGCCCAGCCTGGGCAACTTAGTGACCTAGTGAGACCCTGCCTCAGTCAATGGGAAGGGCTGGGATGCAGCTCAGGGCGGGGTCCTCGGGCGCGGTCCCAGCACCACTAATAAGATTCCGGCACTGGGCCCTTCACCTGCAAATCCAGAGAGCTAGGGCGGGCTACAGATGCCTGCCAGTCAGCAAAACGCCTACTTTTCCCACTGTGTGGTCTCAAGGTCATCCGCCACGGTCACAAAGGTCTCATCTGGTGAGGGAGCCGGCAGCCCTTGTGCAGGCTCCTGTCCCGGCAGCAGCGTCCCCGCTCTCTGTCACTCACAGGAGCAAGCTGTGGCCTTGCACGGGTCCCTGCCTGGTGTCCAGCCAGGGTGGCCTCTCCCAGCGGGCATCTGTCCCCTGTGCCCCGCTCAGCGGGCCCCACGTGCCCCGCACCAGGCCCGGCAGTGAGCGTCCGAGTTGGGCCTGAGGGACGGTGTTGTTCTGTCTCTGTGAGCCCTCTCCTCCTGCGCTGCAGCCCCCTAGGGTTACCCCGAGAAGATCAGTGGGTATTTCCTTGGGGCGACTTAGGCTGTGGTGGACAAGGGCCTTGGTTTGGGGCCGTGTGGGTGCTCAGGCTCTGTCACTTGCTGCGGGGCGGGAGGGCGTGGGGCTCAGGGTGTCGGAGGGACGGGGACCAAGCCCGCGTCCTCTGCCCGGGCCCGGAAGTCTTGGCGGTCGCTGGCCAGGCCGGGCCCCGGGCCACTTTGTGTCCCTGTCAGCAGGCCGTCCGCAGTCGCCTTGTCGTGGCCTCTATGGCCTTGTTTCCCTTCCCGGTGTTTCCTGTCTGAGTGGGGTGGCAATGCGGTCTGCAGTGCGGGCCGTGCCGAGGCCGCTCGGAGGGAAGCGCCCTCTGTGTGCTGGCCGTGGCCACAGCTGGTTGTGCTTTCCTTTGTGTCACGATCCTCGTGGGCAGTGGGCGCACGCCGTGACACATCTGCGGCTTGTTGCGCCCCTCCCCCTCCGCCTCCGGCCCTCGGTCCCTTCCCTTTTGCGAAAGCTCCCTCGCCAGCTTCCTTCGCGCCTTTTGTTTTGCTCTTTACCCGGTGTCCTGCCCCCGCAATCACTCCGCTTCTGGTGTTGGGTGCCGGCAGCTCTGCCCCTGGACTCCGGGTCTGTACTGTGAGCAGTCCCGGCCGGTCGGTGCTGTGTTCGCGTCGGGCTCTGTCCTTGAGCTCCTGTTGTGACTTCAGGCGGTTGCCCTTCCATGGTAACCGGGACAGTGACCCCGCCTCCAGGAGAGCACTGGGAGGGAGCGGGTGTCATTCCCTGTGTTTTAGTCTGAGTCCTGTAGAAGGGAAGCTGAGGCAGGGCGTGTCCTGGGGATGTTCCTCGGGCAGGGCGGGCTTGGCAAAGAGGAGGTGAAGGGCAGCGCCGACTGGGTGAAGCCTGCCAGCCCCGGTGCCCGAGCACATGTGCCCCTCGGCGTCCGGTGCCTGTGTCCCCGTGCCCGCACGCAGTGTCCTTCTGCGGGGACCCTGGGAGGCATGGCAGCATCTCCCGGGAGCTGGCATCCCTGGCCTTCGAGGCTCGGGTGGCCGCATGCGGCACAGTGGTGCCATTGCGCGCTCAGGGAGGCCTGGTGCGGGTGAGGCCTGGGGGCGGGGTGAGG